GGATTGGGCTGGATTGGGGCTGGAGTATGTATCAGAACGGGCCCTGGCGGAGACTCACGTTGACACCCTGAGAAGCCATGTTGATTGAAGAGAGTCCCTGGGCCTCCGGAGCGGCAATCAAACAGAATTAGTGAGAGTAGAAGGATCGAAGCCGGATTCCGAGCGACCGGTTTGGAGGGTATCGACAGTCAATGGCTGGCAATGCGGGCTGGGATACTGAAGCTTCCAAGTTGTAAAGACGAAGTTCCTGTCGCGAGTTTTTCCGGACCGTCGGCCTTGCTGCGCTTATGTCATCCGACCACTAACTAACATCAACCCGGACATTGGTTTTGGTATTCTGGGAGAAGCGGGACGGGGAGAGAGAGGAGAGGAGGGTCGGGAACGCGACTACGGTAAGTTAGAGGACCCGTTCCACTCCCATCCCCCCCTCTTATTTACTGAACACTCACCCCAACAGTCCCGAAGTACATAAACGAACAACACGACCAACCCACCTTATTCTGTACCAAAACGTGGTCTGAACGGATACCCTCCGTTCTGATCTACTAGGTGCATATTCACCTCACGTTATGTCCTCGTCAGTACAACAGCGCAAGGCTGAAATCCTTGCTAAGAAAGCCAAACTCGCCGAACTCAAGCGCCAGAGGGAATTGCGCCAGAGGGAATTCTCCCAGGTTCGCGCTAACAGCGGTGACGCCTCTGAGGTAAGAGGCCCCTATGCTAAACTGCGAATTCTTTCTTCAACTCGAGCTGGAGGACTTAGCTCTATTGTTTACCTAGGTCGTATCGCCAGTCCCGAGTCGTGCGGACAGCAGAGCTGAGCTCGACGACTTCATCTCCCGTCTTGTCGACCGCCCCGGATCAGCTTCGATCGGCCACGGTGCCGATGGCCTCTCGCGCAAAGGCAGCCGACCAAACTCCGTCCTCAGCGCCAGCCAGTTGAGCGGAGATAACGCCGAAGCTTTCAGCCCTCCTGCGCGAACCGTTTCCCATTCAATCGCAGTCCAGACCGTCGGAACCGAGCTCTTTGTCGCCGCTACCGAACCACAGCCTGCCCCTGAGCCTAAACCCGAAATTGTCACCTACAGCAAAGCAGTACAAACCGATGATCTAAAAGGACCTGATGGGATATCTCTCGACTCCGATGATGAAGGTGACACGAAACGCTCCGGCAAGAAAGTTAGTGAGCTTGACGACGAAATTCTGAAGAAGCTTCGCAGAGAAATTGAGGAGGAACTGCAGACAGCGCAACGGAACTCCGAGAATGAGAGTGGGTCTGAGATGGCAAAACTGCGGTACCCGCTGCGCACACTGGATGAAGATGAACTTAAAGCTGTTACTTCGTCGGACGACTTCTTAGACTTTGTGGAACGATCGGCAAAAGTGATTGAGCGGGCATTGGATGAAGAATATGATGTTCTGGCAGATTACGAGCTTGGAGGTGTTGATGGCGAGCTGGATGATGATGACGAGCATGGCAAGAAGAGACGAGGCATCCGAGAGGTCTGCCAATTCTGGGATGAACGATGGAGCAAGAAACGTATGATCAGCGATTTGAGCTTCTCTCCAAAGGTCTGTTACGCGCACTGATGCCGGCCAATCGTAATACTGATGAATTCTACAGTTCCCGGAGCTCGTCCTGGCCGCGTATACCAAGAACCCCTCTGCGCCCCATGAGCCCGACGGCCTCGTCCAGATTTGGAACCAACACCTGCACTCCCGCCCAGAGTATGTCTTCCATTCAACCTCCGACATTTTGGCCGCGAAATTCTCCCCCTTCCATCCCAACCTGATTGTTGGTGGATCATATTCGGGCCAGGTTCTGCTGTGGGACACCCGTTCGTCGCGAGCAGGCGGAGGCGCACCGGTTCAGAAGACGCCCCTGACCGGCTCCGGACATACCCACCCTGTTTACAGCATCTCAATAATCGGCACCCAGAATGCCCACAACATCCTCACAGCATCTACGGATGGTGTTGTCTGTGGATGGACTGTTGATATGCTCTCTCAGCCTCAAGAGTATCTGGAGCTGTCCACACCTCCTCCATCTAAAACTGAAGATCTTGCACCCACAACCATGTCATTCCCCCAATCCGACCCGACGTTCTTCATTGTTGGCACCGAAGAAGGAGGAATCTACCCGTGCCACCGTTATGATCGAGCGGGGGCTAAGGCTGGTACCGACCATCGTCTGGCGTATCGTGGCCATGCTGCGCCAATCATGTCCACTGCGTTCCATCCGGCACGCGGCCCGGTCGACCTGGGTGATCTATTGCTCAGCTCGAGCTTGGACTGGAGCGTGAAACTTTGGCGTGTGCGGCCCCCAGCCACGACCGCCCCGGCTACGTCGGCCATAGCCACGACGCAAGTCGTTTCTCCGATCCTAGAGATCAATCGCGAAGATGTGGTGTACGATGCCAAATGGTCTCCTCACCGCCCTGGAGTCTTTTCTCTCGTCGATGGTGCTGGCAACCTCGAGGTTTGGGATCTCTACACGGACACAGAGGTCCCGGCGGTGAAGACGACGCCATCTAGAGGCCGCGGAGGCATTCTTACGAGGAGTCTCAACAAGGTGGCTTGGGAGGAGCGAGAGGGTAGACGCATTGCCACCGGTGGTCTCGACGGCGTGGTGACGGTTTTCGAAGTCGGCAAGGGCCTTAGCGGTACTCCGGAAGATGTGCGCGCAGAGGAATGGACAGGAATGAAGAAGCTCGTTGGACAATGGGAGCAGAAAGACCGCATGAATTGATGTGTCTTGGCTTTTGGTCCTGATGACCTCTGTGCTTAGTGAAGCATGGGTCAGCAGCGCTTCGATTGTCTCGCCATGCTTTTTCACCAGGTCATCCCTTGCACTCAGCATTTCATCTCGTTATTTTTCATCTTCTTCATACCGATATGTACCAAATTTCGAGCGGCGCCTTGATTCACTTTCTCATATACCCCACGGGCAGCTTGTTGTTGATGTATCTATGCATGTTTAGGGCAGGCGAACAGAGAAGCATCTTTCTAGAATGTACAACAGGTAGCGATTGCACTTCTCAATCCGATCACTCTTAGGTCGAATGCATTCATAGTCCTTCCTCAATAAGGGAATTCTTGGCCCACCAGCTTCTCACTCAGTCTCCACAGCCGCTCAGCCTCGAAGCTGCTGGTGGCCCATGGTTTGACCGTATCCACCAAGGGGTCAGCCACATGGCAATCAATCAGGTACGCCCCATTGACAGCTGGCATTCCGTCAGCAATCAGGTGGACACGGGACAGAGAATCGAATTGCCTACCCTTCAAACTCGGATCAAAGGCCGCATAGACATGAGTCGCCGCGCCCCTCTCGAGATTCTTCGCGTCAAATTCGTCCCTCCAACCTTCCCGGTTACCAAGTGACCGGTCCACAGCCTCTGTACGAAAGGCACCCATTAGCCGAGATGAACCTTTCTTCACATCCACAATGAAACGAAAGATGAGACAGAGAGAGAGGGGGGAGAAAATAATTGAGTCTGCAACAACGTACGAAGCTCTTTCATCCCAACACTCCAATCCACATCCCTGTCCAGATTGGTAAAGATGACCCCGGGATGCAAACTGAACGCCTGCAGATTATGCTTCAATCCCAGCTTCTGCGCCAGCGAGAGGGCAAACAACATGTTGGCTGTTTTGCTTTGCCCGTAGGCACGCCAGCGATCATAGCTTTTCCCTTCCTATGTCCCTCCCCGGCTTTGTGTCAGCTTGCTTGTTATTCTCTCCCACGTCTGGTTTCACTTGTTTGCCCCAACCAATGAATCAAAACACAGTCACAGGGGGTGAGGCGACGGCTTACATCGAAATTGAAATCGTCGAACCGCACCGGATTCAAGCGATGGCCATCACTACTCACGACGACCACGCGGGGGCTCGACGCGGCCACGATCTTCGGCATGAGCAGGTTGGTGAACAGGAACGGGCCGAGGTGGTTGGTCGCCCAGTGGGCCTCGAAGCCCTCGGGCGAGCGGCGATAGTCCGGCACGGCCATGATGCCCGCGTTGTTGACCACGACATCGATGACGGGGAGGTCGTCCCACCCGTTGATCTCGGCTGCGGCGGCGCGGACGCTCTCGAGGGAGGATAGGTCGATCTGTAGGGTGCGGATCTGCGTGGTTGGGTGGTTGGTGCTGGTGCTGGTGCTGGTGCTGGTGCTGGCTTGGAGCGCCGCGGCGGTTTGGGCGAGCTGGTCGGCATTACGGGCGGCAAGGATGAGGCAGGATGGTTCGGCTTGGACGAGGGACTGCACGAAGAAGCCGCCGAGGGAGTTGGGGGAGACCCCTGTTGTGAGGATGACTTTGCCTTGGATGAGGGGGGCGTAGTCGGCCAGGAGGTTGGCGGTGGTGGTCTGAGTGGTGTATGGCGGTGGCATGTTGGTTTTTGCTGTCTGGTGGGGATGGGGTGGCAAGTGATGGTTAGGCTAGATTCAGAAAAAGCTCGGGCTGTGCATGGTTGCTAGAAATGAGGCTATTTATGTTGATGGATGAGGATTGTTATGGGTAATTGCGGCGTTAACAGGCTGTTTTCCTATGTCCGGGGAAAGCCCTGCATAGTATCGTACGTTTAGCAGCGCGCTACTGTAGGCAGTCTCGCTGAGGATCGTTAGAGCAAGTTCAAATCAAGGAAAGGGGTGAGCTACTGATAAGGTCAGGTGAAAAGGATGCGAACAAGATACGACGACTTGTGCTGTACCTTGCCAGCAATTCATTTTCTCCTGCTAGCTATGACATTGTGACTCGCAGATCCTTCTTGCTATTGTGTAGCTCTTTGCATCCGATCTTTGCGAAGTTTATTTAACCTCTGTCTGCTTTTGAGTGCATAGTGCATATGATTTTCTTGTAGCTACCTATACAGTGTCACGATACGCCGTTGCGCTGACTATGAAAAGGTGTACTGTATGTACACCTCATACAGCTTGGTCGCTAGAGTTGGACCACTTCACGAATACTTTCACCTCCTTATGCTTAAGTTTGAAAGGGATTCCCATTGGCTCACGTAAGCTGCGCGAGTGATAATTCAACTATATTATTGCCCCGAAGCGACAAGTTTCTAGTACTATCGCTAATCAACAACCTTGAATGACGTCTCATGGTGGAGCATGGAGCACATGCGCTTGTCCCGAAATGGCAAGGTGCCCATGCCTGCTCGGAGAGGATCGACAGGCCGATATCAAGTCATCAATGATCATAAGTGCGGACTGACTTGAACAATTGCGATTAGACGCCCTATGGAAACCGCAACCACACTAAGAAGTAAGTAAGTGGCCAAGCTAACTCACCGGGGCTCTGCTTACACGTATCCACAAGTGAATACTCCGGCTAGAAGAAGCTTCCGCATGAGCCTCAAGTGCAGCTTCCAGAGCACGGGCAAGGGCAAGAGTAGGACGAGGACATCGATAATGGAAACCGGCGTTCCAAAGCCCAACCACAAGCTCTTTGTATCTGTGCAGGTGCCCAGCGGATCTGTTATCCAGTTTTTCTCGATCCGAGAACATGTGAGATAGATCATGAGGATAGTACTGATCGACCATGCGATATTCAACCCATGCACTACCCAGAGCGCATATCGGAAGCGAGAGGGACCTTGGCTCAGAGCCCTTGCGTAGAAGAACAGAGCTAACGCTCGTGCTGTCGCGGTCCCTCCAAATCCGAGAAAGTATACAGCCCATAACAGCTTCAGGAAAGAGACCAGGTCTGCTGGAGATACTGTTTCAACCTGTCTCCCCAGTCCAAGCCGGATCATTCTCAGATTGTAACCGCAAACAGCAATCTTCAAAAACTGGCAGAGCATGATTAGTCCATGCCAATGCTGAGAGGGGAGAATAGGCAGAGAGGATCATTTTTGCGCAGCATACTCGAATCAATCGTCATATGACGTGAATCAGCCTTAGATTTAGAATTATCGAGGCCTGGAACCAGCCATTCCGTAACTGCTTCCATGATGCTTCACTGCCACCTTGTGTAATGTAAGCAGCCAACAATCTGTCATCGACAAATGAGGGCATTGAGATTGTTCACCAGCGACTGCGGAATCACATGAAACTTTAATAAGGATGGGTACTAGGTAGCCAACAACAGCATAAGTAACCGGAGAGGCCGGCGTCGGATGAAGGTACTAGTAAGTAAGTAGGTAGTTGCCCAGTGACTTCTAGCAAGTGCCAGAAGGAGTAAAAGTCGGCAGTACCGTGACTGTAGGTAGTAAACCACGAAAGCCAAGACAGGTAGATGATCCCGACCCGCGAACCTTAATTCATATCACCTACGGGCAGTATTCGCAGCTCTTGTAGGTCGAAGACACATCCGGTATGCATTGCTATTTTTTTAGGCGAAGCCATCCCGAGAGCCGAGGCGACTGTGAAATGACAATCTTGGAGGAAGACGAATTAGTCTATTCAAGTAGGTGCTGCACTCGGCCTTGACTACCTAAGTAGTCTTTACCGCGACGATTGACCAGGAATTGGAGACTGACGGCAGCAAACCATACTTTTGATGAGGCCTACCCATGGCTCGACAGTCCGCTGGTCTGATCTCGAAATTATGTAATGGTTCTTGCGACTTTCTGAAGACAACATGTCTATCACCACCTTTCCTACCAGATCGCACCGAAGGATGCCGTTGCGTTGCTGTTCAATGGCTTAAAACACACGCCACAAAGCCCGCTGCTGGGCTGCTCCTCTCTTTCCCTTGACGCTACATGCACATCCTTTCCTTCTCGCCGATGCAGGCCTAGTGGTGAGTAGGCGACATAGCAGTGGAATTATGTCTCAGCGTTCGCCTTATGTTCCCTACAATGGGGGATCTCTGCTGGGCGTAGCCATTGCTATGGCAATCCTGCAGATTGTTGTGGTGATTGCTCGCTTCTATACCCGACACAATCAGAGAATCGCATACGCGCTTGATGATTTTCTGATTGTCATCGCCTTGGTAGGGCAGCTAGCATCAGTCCATGTCTTAATTGCTTATAAGCCCTCTAGATTGCTAGCCTGGGACAGTCGGCTCTGTACGTGGTTTGTAAGTGACGGCCTCGGTTATCACCCATTAGGTAACAGCTGACCCTCAACATAGTGGTCGAAGTCGCAGGTGTCGGATACCCCATTCGTTATGTCGAACAGACTCCAGAGAAGTTGGTTGCTCTAGAGAAGGTACTGACCAGAAAGTTTCGAGGCCCGATATGGGTGACTGACCGATCAATTGAGACGCATAGGGTCTATACGCCAATGAGATCATAGATTTCCCTTTCGTCATAACGCCAGTCAAGATTTCCATTCTGGTATTTTATGTTCGCATCTTTAGCACGCGAAACTTCAAAGTCGCCGCCTATATCGTTGGTGCAATCGTACTCGGACACGGCATTGGGGTTTTGCTCGCAGCTATATTTCAATGTTGGCCAATCGATTACACCTGGAACAAGACTGCAGGTATCGAAGGCGGCTCATGTTTCAACCAACAAGCCTTCTACCGATACGTCTCGCCACCGAACATCTTGACGGATGTCCTCTTGTTGATTTTACCACTGCCCTATGTTTGGAAACTCCATACCTCTTGTGGTCACAAGCTGGCATTGACGGGAGTCTTCCTTCTGGGAGGATTGTAAGCGTAATTCCCGCATCATCGCATATCATTTGTACAGTATGCCCTATGTATGCTTCGTTGATTGACCGTGCAATAGGGGAACGGTAGCCAGTATTTTGCGCATGACAAACTTCTTCGAAGAAAGAGCGACAGTTGATCCTACATGTATGTCCACCACAGAGGTCTAATCCAACCTTCCATACTGACTCGACTGCGTTTGTGTAGGGACATCGACCGATCTTGGGATCTGGACTATTCTCGAAGGAGCCCTTATCATCATAGCCGCCTGCCTGCCCCCAACTTGGCCTTTAATAGTCCGGTTCCTACCCCGGAAACTTTTTAGCAAAAAGTCAGTCGGAACTCGTGCTTCTGAGAAGGTCACGAGCAGACGTGCCATGGTTGAAAGCGAGGACGGATCTTCCCGTAAAGGGGGCAGCGCTCGCGACCACGGCCAGAGCCTGTCCACCCTGGAAAGTCAAACCAGGCTATCTCCTGGGGATTCAAGTCGGCCTTCGGATAGATTTGCATTGGGGTCCATTCCGAGTGAGGTTTGATATACACTCTCTTGGACCAGCTCGATATGAAACCTATGCTCTATTTCGATTGATCCAAAATCTATATGCTAATATGTATATTGGAATCCAGCCTGATATCGATTGAGTTAGTGAAATTTCGCGTCAATCGCACCAGGCAGACGTACCATGTTCTGGAGAACTTTTCCTTTCTTCAGCTGTCTGTTCAGCGAGTAGAAAGATAGTGTGAAGACACCCACGAGAACAATCATGAGGACATGGGAGCTGATGGCACAGGAAAGAGATGTTGTCAGTGTTTACGGTTCCGGTCAAAGGGTTGATTGAACCCGACATACCCAATAGATACCCATACCGCGGTTTGATAGCGTGGTGCTTCCTGCTGTCGCACAATATAACTGCCCGCCACACCACCCAGGCCATTAAACGCCGATACGGCGGCTGCAGTGGAGGCGCGATTCCACTGTCCCACGACGTTGTTGGCCATGAATGCGTTCAGAGCCGCCCAGTTGGAGACATATGCCCCGGTAGCGAGAAAGGTCCCAATATACCGAACAGTAACCTGCGTTGAGGACGGTAGACCAAACATAAGAAATCCGGCTATCAGGCAGAGGGCGTTGAACGTGATGAGCGGACCCCGGATGCGATAAGAATCGCCCACAAACGACGTGAAAAGGACTGGAAGTACGGACCAATAGTAGGGCTGCCAAGGTAAATGTCCAAAGTTAGGACGACGCGAACTACAACCTTGGAAACACGATCCGTGGGTAACCCCTATCTGACCAACTCCGAAATAAAGGACAAGAACAGCGTACCGGTGTTGAGAGAAGGATAGAGTCATTGCCTGAGAAGCCCATGCCTGATTCGAGAATGATAGGCAAAAAGTAGTTCAGCGCCGTTGAGACAAGATTCAATAAGAAGTACATGCAGGCAAAGCCATACAGCTTCAAATCGGCGAAAGGGGCCAAAGCTTTGCTCCACGAGAAAGCATCAGGCATTATATCATCACGGTCAGCTCGAATCCGCTGATGCTGCTCTGTCAGTTACTGCTATTACTGCTCGTGTTGCTGTTGCTTCTCACCTGTGCAGCCACACGTGCCTCTGCTTCGCTCAGGAAGTGAAAGCTACGGTGAGCGTTCTCCGGGAAGTCCACCATCCACCAATATGTGAGAATCCCAATGACGCAACTGATCAAGCCCTGAACAAGGTACATCCAGCGCCAGCCTTGCATGCCTGCTTTCCCATCCAGCAGGTTCAGGCCATAGTTCACGATATACCCTGTCGCAAGCCCGATCACCTCCCCCGACTGGAGAACCGCGAACCGGACCTGCTGTTCCCGTCGTGGGTACCAAGTGCTAATGAGATAAGTCAAGCCAGGGTAGATCCCTGACATGGCTATTCCTAGCAACACTCGCAGCGCAATCATCTGCCGCCAAGTATGAATAAAGGCGGTACATAACGTGATTAGGCCGAATATGAAAGTGATCGCGGCGAACCAGACTCTGGGACCAACCCAACGAACTGCGAGAGTAGACGGCAATTGGCAGACGATGCTCGCAACTGTGAATATGAAAATTGAGACGGAGTAGCGGTTTCCATGCAGATCTAAGTCGCTGGGCATACTAGTCACCGATGCAGACGAGAGAATACCCGAGTCGAGTAAGTTGAGACTGCACAGAATGCCGGCAATGCTACAAAGACGTAAGTCTGTCTTCCATCGAACTTGCTTCTCCAGCAGTTTCAACTCTTCAGGGTCCTGTTCAGTCAGGTAGAATGCGGTTTGCGGGGTCGGCTTCTTATCTAGCGGTGACACCGTGCCAACCTGCCTTTCGACCACAGCGCCATCGGCGCTTTTCGAGGCCATAATTCAATTGGCGCCTGGTTGAGCACGCAGCGATAAGAATTGGTATTCTTGGGTTCGAGAGCAATTGCAATGGCTGACGGACGATTGATTGCAGCGACATTGTCCAAAAAGCGGGGGGAAGCATCGGAAGAAACTAATGGAATACGGTGGCAATGAACCCGCTTATCTATTGCTGAAGATTTTCGATAGCTCGTCCAATTCCTAATTCTTGCATATCTTAGCAATCAACCACTGCCCAGGTCCTAATCCTTAGCTCATGGAATCCCTGCTTCGCTGACTCATACATTTCGGGCGAGACCCAGGGGATCACACTGGTTCAGCTGGGCTTCTCGTGCGATTGTTCTGGGTAGAGGAACATAACCTAAGCTTAAGCTGTCAATTGATTTGTTGAGGCTTTGAAATTGGATGGCGGAATCGAGAGGGCCACGCACTTCCGGATCGCCACGCACTTCTAGATTGTTATGTCTCCGTACTCCGAGACAACTTATTAATTTGTCAAATTGTTATTCTTTACTATAGAGTCCCTAAGAAGATAAACCATTTGACTGGATTAGATGAGTGTTTCATAAAATCTTACATGGTACCTTACCTGTTCATTCACCACTCTGAAAGATGCTTGGTAAAGTCTTGTTTATAGACTTATTTGTATACTTCCTTGTCGAGGTGCTTAATAAGGCTTTGGCTATATTCTTAATTTCTCCAAAGATCCATATTTCTAGTCGTATATTTCTATATAGAAACTTATACTTATTGAAGGGTTTCATATTCAGTTAGGAACCGCGTCGTGTAGTACATAAAAGCAGCCGTTCCCAGAAGTGCGGGGCTTTCCGAAAGTGAACCAAGTGGTCGACGAGTGTTGTCCTTCGGAAGGACCCCGAGGGAGATACATAAGGGCCTGCCTAGCGGGTGAACCCCCTGACCCAAGGCGTTGTCGAAGGGGACTTGGCGGGCCCATCAGGGCCCGTGATGTACTCCGTACTTAACACCATTCTTAAGCACTTTCTTACTCATAGTAGCCGCAGGCCTGTTCAAACACCCGCTCAATGGCCTGTTTCGTACGCCTGTTCATATAGCTGTCTGAAGGCCTTTCTTTACACTCAAGCACTCTCAATATCGACGCAATTATGGTTATACTCATCTAGGCCGTAGGTCCGAGTCTACGCTGCAGCAGGAGGAGGGGCCTTCCTGAAGCAGCAATGATGAATGGGCTTCTTCAGCATAACTAAGAATTTGGCACAATGAAGGAGTGTTAGTCCAGCTCGCTCTCAACATCAGGGACGAATGCAATTGCCTTTCAGCTACTAAGTACTTGGGGCTCTACCTGTAGCTTGACCACCTCCTTGATCCCCACCCCTTCTTATCGCACGGCATTGTGGATGATGAATTAACGGAGTAACTAGCCGTCAATTCTAACTCCGAGAACCGACTCTGGATCTCAATGTTTTCCATTTCTCCGCTCCTCAATGGCTCGCCGGAGCTCCATCTGCTGCTGCTTTCCCCGCGCCGATTGCAGCGGGGACCCACGTTACCGCACCGGACGAAAGGGAGTTAAGCGGGTTAGTTGAAAACTACTGTACTCCGTACGCTATGTATTGTACCTTTCGACTCCTATCATTCAGTTACCAAGCCTTCTTTCTGACTCTGGGATCGTATCTATCTGTTCGCGTCTTCGGTCAGTCTGATCGACCGTCACTTGGCTCCCCTCCCCCCACTCACCCACCCACCCTCCCTCCTCCACTTCTTCTGTTCTCTCGCCCTCATAATAATCATGGCTCTTCTTCCTTAACATCCTCGTCCTCTTCCACTTCCTCTTCCCCTTCTTTCCTTTCCTTTCCCCTTATCGGTTACAGATACCATTTCTTTCCCGCCCCCCGCACTCTCCAACCCAACTGCGATTTTACGCAGTACGCCGCCGCAGCTCGCAGCTCAGTCTGTGACTACATATCACTCATTTCGCCATTTTTCCTCTAGACCCCCCCCCAAAACTGATCACCATGGTCGAGCTAATCCCTTCTCTTGAACCTCGCATGCTGCTTCCGCCATTGCTCGCCTGTCTACCCACGGCTTTCGTCTCGTCACAACCCCCTCCTGCGCTGCTACCACTCCTGTCTCCTATTATTCGCCAGCGTGTGAAGATCTTTACTACCGTCTCCGCTTCGCCCAACGATTCATGGCTTCGGTTGCTTTGCTGGGATTCTGCATCGGCTGAGCGTTTGCAATCCCTGGTGGATGGTGCTAGCTTTGAGCCCCACCCCGTTTCCGGAGAGATTGACCTCCCAGAGGACATTCCAATTCGATACAAGAGACTGGATGAGGAGACTTTAAAGTCACAAATTCAGCTACCTGAGTATAGCCTAAAGGTCATATACGTCTGGTGTCCGGACGACGAAGAAGGCGGAGGAGCTGCGTGGCGGGTAGCGGAAGTCTTGCCACAGGATAGCAGTGTTGGGGAGGACGGAGTCTGGTCGATTTCGATTGGGGAGGCAAACGCCTATCAGAGGGAACAGGAGACGGCAAATAAGGTAGCAGCAACGGGAAATAATGGACAAGCAACCACAGCAGCAACACAGAGCAATGGCAAAGATACACAAGAGGAAGAGGATGATGACGATGACTACTGGGCCCAATACGACGCGACTCCCGGACGGACCCCCGCGGTGAAAACCCCGGCTCCCAACGCCGTTTCATCTTTGCAACAGTCTGACGCAGACTATTATTCTCAGTATGACGATGTGCAGCCAGCCATGGATAACCATGATCCCGAGGAAGAGCAGCCCGAAATCGGACCATCTTCGCTCAATGGCGACATGTTGGCTCGTCTCTTGCAACGGCAAGCCAGTGGCTCGAATCCTGACACGTCTGCGCACGCGACCGAACACTCAGCAGGTGGGGTGATAAATGGAGGCTACGCCATGTCGTTGAATCATCCTCGCCCTTCATCCATTTCATCTGGCAGCTCCGATCCAGTGGCCAAGCTAGAGCAGGAAGCGGAGAACCAGTCTGCCTATGAAGTCGGGGTAAAGCAACATATTGGCTCCAACATCAAGAGTTTGTTCCGACTGGCAAAGGCGACTGGTCTCTCTCGGAGTGACTTCCAGACTCTTGTCAAGACTGAATTGGAGCTGCTCGATGTATCAGACGATGAGTGAATGATCTTCTCTACCCATCATTTTGATCTTTTTTCTTTGTGTCCATCTAATCCTGAAATTGTACATACATACCTACCGCATTTGGTCATGCTTAAGCGTGAAGGGCGCAATTCTTGTTCGCATATGCATTGGATATCCCAGGGGTACATGTGCTTTGTTGGCTATATTGCCATATTGATTTTATTTCGCTATTCTTGCTACTGGTTTATAATAAATTAGCACAAATCAAATAACCTTAAATATCTACGGTCGATCTCACCCTGACGCCATAAGGCTTACGTGTAGGGAGTGTTTCGGATCTGTGCTTCAGGTTCTTCCGTTCCGCGCGGTCATTGGGAAAGACACGCAATCCGCCCCCATCAGTCGACTTAACCGGCCCCCCTCCCCTCTACTGCTGCGGCTGAAGCGACCTGGTATATTACGAGATTGTGAGCCAATTCGAATATGCTCTCTTCTTGATCTTTCTCTTTCTCCCTTGTAAGTACGTCCACTGGGATGACTTGCCCTTCTGCTTGTTCAAACGTGGCTAATCTGATCTGTTGTTTTGGTTCCCTCTAATCCAGTATATAGAGCCGTCTCTCATTCATTCGTTTCTTTCCTACTAGCTACCACATCTTCCTTTAATTATGTCTTCCCCTTCGCCCTCTCTTCGCAAGAGGGGTGGCAAGAAGGAGAGTACCCCCGTGCCTGCGGACAATTTCCCGTCTCCTTTTTCGTCTACCAAAGCGCCTCGTCCCCAGTCAGAATGGAGCTATTGGCTGGCCATTGCCGTTCTGACTGTCCTGGCTTTCATCACCCGATTCTACAAGATCTCGTATCCCAACGAAGTTGTCTTCGATGAGGTGCATTTTGGAAAGGTAAGTCGAGCTGTTTTGCAGGGAATTGAGTTTGTGGGCCACTGCTAACCGAACACCTGTCGTTATTCAGTTCGCCTCGTATTACCTCCAGCGCACGTACTTCTTCGATGTTCACCCCCCATTCGGCAAGCTTCTTTTTGCTTTTGTGGGATGGCTGATCGGCTATGATGGCCACTTTTTGTTCGACAACATCGGCGATTCGTACATCGACCACAAGGTCCCCTATGTTGCCCTTCGTGCTATGCCGGCTACCCTCGGTGCTCTAACCGTGCCCGTGGTGTTTCTCATCATGTGGGAGTCCGGTTATTCGCTACCAGCCTGTGTCTTGTCGGCAGGTCTCGTCTTGTTTGACAATGCACACATTGGAGAGGATCGCCTGATCCTCCTGGATGCCAGTCTGGTTTTGGCCATGGCCTTGAGTGTCTTGTGCTATGTCCGCTTCTACAAGCTGCGTCATCAGCCGTTCGGCCGCAAGTGGTGGAAATGGCTTCTCTTGACCGGTGTGTCTCTAAGCTGCGTTATCTCCACCAAGTACGTTGGCGTCTTCACTTTCGTCACCATCGGATCTGCGGTCTTGGTCGACCTGTGGAATTTGTTGGACATCCGCCGACCTGGCGGTTCTCTCAGCATGTTCCGCTGGAGCCAGCACTTCGCTGCACGCGCTTTTGGACTAGTCGTCGTTCCATTCTTTTTCTATTTGTTCTGGTTCCAGGTTCACTTCACCATTCTGAACCGCTCCGGTCCTGGCGACGACTTCATGACCCCGGAATTCCAGGAAACTCTCAGCGACAATGCCCTGACTGCGGACTCCATCGGCATTCAATACTATGACAGTATCACTATCAAACACAAGGACACCAAGGTTTTCTTGCACAGCCACCTGGAGACATACCCGCTTCGCTATGATGATGGACGTATTTCCAGCCAGGGCCAGCAGGTCACTGGTTACCCTTACAACGACACCAACAACCACTGGCAGATCATCCCCACCGTCCCCTTCGATGTCACTGACACCACTGGACACCCTGTACGGAATGGCGATGTTGTCCAGCTCCGTCATTTGGGCACAGACACAATGTTGCTCACCCACGATGTGGCGTCGCCTTACTATCCGACCAACCAGGAGTTCACTACCGTCTCCCAAGAACTCGCTAACGGCGAGCGCCACAATGATACACTCTTCGAGATCAAGATCGAGAATGCGAAGCCCCAGCAGGAGTTCCGAACTCTTTCGAGTCACTTCAAGCTGGTCCACGTGCCCACTCGGGTGGCCATGTGGACGCACACGACTCCTCTGCCGGAATGGGCTTTCAAGCAGGCCGAAATCAATGGCAACAAGAACATTCTTCAGACTAGCAACCTCTGGTTCATCGAATCCATTGAGTCTCTAGAAGAGGGCAGTCCACGCCTCTCGAAGGAAGAGCGCCAGGTCAAACATCTGTCTTTCTTCCGCAAGTATATTGAGCTGCAGCGCGCTATGTTCCACCACAACAACGCTCTGACTTCCAGCCACCCTTACGCCAGCGAGCCTTTCCAGTGGCCCTTCCTTCTTCGTGGTGTCAGCTTCTGGACTAAGAACGATACCCGGGAGCAAATCTACTTTTTGGGTAACCCGATCGGCTGGTGGATCGCAAGCAGTCTCTTGGCTGTCTTCGCGGGTGTTATCGGTGCCGACCAATTGTCTCTCCGACGTGGTGTCGATGCCGTAGAGGAGAGTGAGTTATCTTGCCTTATCATATACATGCTCAGTACTAACGATTCGCAGTCTGGGGCGTGGGTGCGCGTTCGCGCTTGTATAACAGCACTGGCTTCCTTTTCCTCTGCTGGGCGGCTCATTATTTCCCTTTCTGGCTGATGGGTCGTCAGCGTTTCTTGCACCACTATCTTCCTGCTCACCTTGCTTCCGCCCTCGTTGCCGGTGCTCTGATTGAGTTCATCTTCAACTTGGAGCCCATCTCCATTGTGAAGTCTGTGCCTCTAGAGGATGACTCGACCGGCAAGTCTAAGGCAACCGTTCGGATCACCCACTTTGTGACGGCTTCGGAGCGTCTCGGACGGAAGTCTCTGATTGCGGGATGGGCTGCAACTCTGGTGATTCTGGCCGCCACTATCTTCGGCTTCGTGTTCTACGCCCCGCTGACTTACGGTACCCCTGGTCTGGATGTGCCGGGTATCTTGGCCCGCAAGTGGCTGGCATATGACTTGCACTTTGCTAAATAGAATAGTTGATGACGCGCCTGCAGTTGGCACGGCACAGAGCAACAGAATGGAGACTGCATGCTCATAGTAGGCAGTCATGGTTGATGAGATGTATGAGGTGTTCGAAGTAGTTTCGAATGAGCGGGGTTCATATAGTGCGCCTGACGATGAGCTGACACAATATTCATTGTGTCCGTGCCTGCCAGCCGCCTTTCCCATCTATATTCTTGATTTATCTCAGTCACTCCTCTGTACCAAAATCTATATCTGAAATATTACGTTGTGATACTACATTACCATGAAACCAGGATTCAGACCAGACGACACCAAAAACACAAAGTCATAGAAAGAAGCTCAATGAGATCAAACCCTAATGCTACCGAAACACCCCCAACGCCAAGTTGCTATCAAGTATGTACAGCACATCAAATGGATACCACTCTTTAAAAAGCCATTCTCTTCCCAATCTCACTCTCCCAGCCGCGCGACTTCTCGAACCCATTCGTCGCGGTCCGGAAATCCATCATGGCCTGGTAGACCTCCTCCTCACTCGTCACGACGAAGGGACCGTACTGGACGACCTTCTGATCGAGGGGCTGGCCGGCGACGAGTAAGAACCGGCCCTCCTCCTCGGCATTATCCGGCACAGAGGCCTCGACGAACTCGCCCTGCTGCTCGAACACGACATTGTGAAACTCCTTGACGTTGCGGGTCTGATCACCGGAGCCAAAGACGGTGGCGCCCTGCAGCGTGTAGGCGAAGGCGTTCCAGCCGAGGGGCAGAGCCTGGCGCACGCGGCCGCCGGGCTTGACGGAGATATCCAGCAGCCAGACGGGGGTGTAGGCGAGGTCGCGCACGGAGTCGACGCCGTGCGACTGGCCGGAGATGACTTTCACGGTGACGCGCCCGTCGTCCGCGGTGGCGCGGGGGATCTCGGCGCTGCGCAGGTCGCGGTAGCGCGGCTCGCAGTACTTGAGGTCCTTGGGGAGGTCGACCCACAGCTGCATGCCGACGTTGGGCGCGCCGTCCGGGTTCTCGTGCGGCATCTCCGCGTGCATGATTCCCTTGCCCGCCGTCATGAACTGCAGGTCCCCCGGCCCGATCGTGCCCCGGTTCCCCGCGAAGTCCTCGTGGTCCACCCCGCCCGACAGCAGGTACGTGATCGTCTCCTGGCCCCGGTGCGGGTGGTCCGGGAACCCCGCCCCCGTCCCGATCGTGAAGTGGTCCAGCATCAGGAACGGGCTGAGGTGCCGCAGCTTCGGCGTGCCGATGGACCGGCGCACGCGCGCGCCCGCGCCCTCGGCTTGCTCGATCGCTAGGAAGACTTGGCGGATGCTGCGGGGGAGGGTCATTTTGTCGGTGGGTGGGATTATAAGGGTGGGGGTGATGATGGTGGTGGTGGTGGTGAAGTTGGCGGAAAAGTGGTCAGCCAATATGGTAGAGGGTATCAAGTCTCGAAAATTGAAGGTGTAGTGGTAACTAGCAGTGTATAGTATAGCAATGATGCCGATGCAAAAAGAAAGTAGGAGCTTCATGTGGGGGGTGTTGCGATGGGCTTTATATAAGAGTTTGGTCGGTACAGTTGCGAACAGTATAGAATCTTCCTAGAAGCCAAAGCTGTTTATTTGAACCTGACATATATTCTGTTAGTCAATTCTTATAATGGGTCGAGTAAGCAACGCCATGCGGTCCTGCGCACGGGGTTTAGGGGGGAAAAAGGAAAAGGAAATTGGCTGGACTGATCCACCGATACGAGGATTGGCTGGAGATGGGGATCGCAAAGCATTGACAAGCAGCAAACCATGGACAGGCTGCGAATTACAAAGATTGCCGTCAGCAACGCTGTCCGCGCTTGGCGGGTGACTCAGGCATTACTCAGGGGTAGCCACAATTTGCATCTGTTACTGTAGATACAGTACTGTGTCAGTAGGTCAATAGGCACGTGCTGATAAGATAAGACACCCCGTCGCCCGCCTTCGGGGCTCCATCTTCCAACTGGCCGGGCACAAGCGATGATGCTATGGCAATGCTGTTAACAGCGCTACTATCATCAGTGTCGGCTTCCTGCCAATAGTCAACGCTGATGTACTGTATTATGTGAACGAACTTATCCGCTTGTTGCTTTTTACGCCCATCGCCGCAATCCGAAGCCTCAATCTCCATCCTCCCCAATAAGGCCAGATCGTCGCATGCGACGCTCCGAGACTCGGGCCAACTACCAAAGTCATTTCCCTAGAGCTCCATCAAACCCAAGATGGCCCGCCAGAGTCGCATTCTCACTTTACTACTGGTTCTGGCAGGTGCCAGCTCAACTGTAGGGGCTAGCAAAAAGTCGTTCAGTGTCCACGATGACCTCCTAGCCTTCCCTCAGGTGCGCTTCCTGACGCTCCTCTCTCGGCCCTGAACTCCCGAACTTGCCTACTAATTGAATTGGCCATATCTACGCTATAGTTCCAAGTCCTTTTCCCCGACGAATACATTCTAGAACCCCAGGCTCGGGAGCTTCTTGAAGACCACAGCAGTCAGTCCTCATTCGAGAATTCACAAGAAGGAATCTCGGGGCAGAAACGCTCGCAGGTCTACCTCGGATTGAACAACCATGACTCTGACCAACAGGATGAATCTCCCCACAGCCTCGACACTGGAGATTACGCCCTAGAAGAGATGATTCTTGGGGACCAGCGATACCTTTGCCACATACCGCAGGTGCAGCTTGACGAGCGGGCCAATGGGACGGGGAACGACACGGCCGAAGCTGACGAGCAAAAGGAGCTGGCGCGGGCCACGGACCGCGGTCTGGAGCTACTGCGCGAGATGGAAGGAAAGTGCATGTACTATATCTCCGGGTGGTGGTCCTACTCGTTCTGCTACAAGGAGAAGGTCAAGCAATTCCACGCTCTCCCATCGGGTAGCGGGGTGCCCAATTACCCACCCATGGAGGATCCCACGACGCAGTCGTTTGTGCTGGGTCGATTCCCACTGGGCGGTGAGGAAGGTGCCGAGGAAGAGGACGACTTTGCACATGCGGGGGAATCCACCCACAAGAGGGCGACCGCTAGTACCACTGATGTTGCGGAACTTCAGACTAAAGGCGGATCTCGGTATCTCGTCCAGCGTCTAGATGGTGGCACGCGATGTGACCTGACGGGACGACGTCGCAAGATTGAGGTCCAGTTTCACTGTCATCCCCAGTCGACAGACCGTATCGGCTGGATCAAGGAAACAGCTACTTGCTCGTACTTGATGATCATCTACACGCCCCGGCTGTGCAACGATGCTGTGTTCCTTCCACCCCAACAGGAAGAGATCCACGAGATTGAGTGTCGGCAAATCCTCACGCCGGATCAGGTATCCGACTGGAAATCATTACGGGAGGCCCTCATCGCCCAGGAGCACGCTGAGGATGCCGGGCTGACGCAGGAGCCCTTCCCCATTGTGGGTGACATTGAAGTGGGGGCGCAGAGATTAGTCGGTTCGGAAGGCAAGAAGATCGAGAAAGGGCGAGTTGCGTCGGCGGGCGAAGAAAAGGTGGATATCGTGGCCAAACGTGAGAATGGACAAGTGTACCAAAGAACTCGCGAGGAGCTGCTGAAGTACGACATCGACCCGGACAAGCTGGAGGATCTGAAGAAAGGCGTGGATGAGATGGCGGAAGGTAAGGACTGGAAGCTAGAATTGATCACAGTCAACGGCGAGCGTCACTTAAATGTGCTTCTAGAGGAGCCCGAGAAGGCGCAAGTGGAAGATGATCAAGGGCCTTCGGTACACGTGACCTCGTTTGGCCCCAGCGATGATCAGTATAAGCTCGACAAGCCAGGCAATGAGGGTGCAGACTCGAAGGCAGCAACAGCAGAGGGTGCTGCAGAAGAACCATCCGAAGAGTCGGACGAGCCAGAGAAACAACCATCGTCGGAGTCAGATGCCTCGGAAACGGGGAGCGAAGAGGTCTTCAAAGACGAGTTGTGATTCTCCGTTCCAATTTGTGGTTTCGGTCTCAACAGTCAAAGACTGTTGACTGAGACAGACCTTTTCTGACCATTGTTTTCTTGTTCGTTATGTTTTCGCCTCCCAGCAGCACCTGCGTGTTAACCAATGCTGGTTGTACAGTTCTAGCCCTATATCCATAGCCTCTTGCATAGTTGATAGCACCGAACGAAGCATACATTTATCTGCACGGCAACGACGCTTCCGATGCGATGTACGGATTATCTTAAGCCGAGGCAAGCCTGAAAGGAGCCCAATCATAAAGGAAGTCAATAAAATGTGGAGACGTCATGGAAAGAATTCTTCTGGACGAATGCCCAAACCGGCTGGGCGGCAGTCAGGGGTTGACGACCATGGCATCATTGGGCTTGTAGCGCTGCTATGGCACGGTCAATTTCCTCTTGAGGGCTTATTCAGTGATGAGATGTGCATGCTATATGCAATGTACTGGATTTTTGTTTTCTAGCTATTTATTTTTACGTTCTATTGGAATTCTGTTACCCTTAATCCGGTCTGTTTTAAGGTTGTCAAACGTGGGTTGAGAAACGTGACCGGTTCCTGTTTGGGCCTCAGGCCCAGGAGTTATGGGGAGTATTGCAAGTTCGCAACAACTAATTCAGTACCAAGATTAGCCTGGATCCCTCCACTCGGACCAGTTACGTACCTGTTCACCACCACCACCACCAACTGTCCGACTGCACCCTCCGGTAACTTGACCTCCACAGTCACCACCATCACCACCACCACCTCAAATCTAACCCCTCTAATTCTACCTTTAGCTTTCTCCTCCGCCTCTTCCTCCCCTTCCTCCCCTTCTAACCTTTCCTCATTCTTCCACCTTTCATTTCTCTATCTTACTTCCCATCTAACGCTGCCCGCTGCGGCCGCAGCACACTCCCCAATCCCCCCCCCCTCCTCCTCCTCCCCCCCCCCTCCCAGCCCCCCTCCCCGGCTCCATTCAACCTTCCAATCCTAACGACAACCACCATGGGTTTCCTCGGCGTCTACACGGTGATCTACGACTATGAACCCCAAGGGGCAGGAGAATTAGAGCTTCGCGAAGGCGATCTGCTTTGTATTCTAGAAAAAAGTGAGGAGGACAGCTGGTGGAAGGCCAAGAAGAAGGCCGATCGCGACGATGAGGATGAGCCCGAAGGTCTCGTTCCGAACAACTACGTCGAGGAGGTAAGCTCTGATCCCCTGGCTCGATGGTCCCATGCCGATGATTCCGCCAATCCCGAACCTGACCAACTTGGGTGTTCTCTCATCGGCTATGCGAACGATTCCCGCTATCCGGGTGTTCTCGCCTTCAGGGGTAGAGCGGGTGCGGTGGAAGGCGCGACAACACACTGTTCGATACTGACGCTCTCATTCCCGACTCACAGGCTCAACCTACGCACAAAGCCAAGGCAGTCTACGACTATACGCGCCAGACAGACGAAGAGGTCTCTTTCTCCGAAGATGCAGACTTGATTGTGTATGACACCTCCGATCCCGACTGGACGCTAGTGGGTGTCAATGGGGATTTTGGCTTCGCCCCCGCAAACTATATCGAGATCGTGGACGACGACGCAGGCCACGCTGCTGCACCTTCGGCCCCATCGCATGTACCGGCTGAGTATGAACCCGAACCGGAATATGAACATGAACCCGAACCCGCGCCTCCCACGCTTCCGCAGCGACCGGTCGTGGCCGCGGATGAAGTGAACGAGGCCCGCGCCCCTTCGCCAATCGACACCGTGCAAAACCCTGCTGCTGCTGCCATTGCCAATATTCTCCACCAGCAACACGCCTCCCCCGTCGAGTCCGAACCACCCCGCACTATGCCTCCGCCACCTCAGCCGGCGCGTCCGACATATGAACCTGAGGAGGACTATCGAAGGGAACCCTCGCCGCCGCCCCCCGCTCTTCCGCAGCGTCCCCCATCAGAGTTCATCTCGTCGCCCGTGCGCGTAGAGTCGCCCCGCGAGCCCATCCAGCCCCGACATGTATCACTCCGAAGTAATGAGAGCGAGGGCCACGTGAAGGAATCTCCTCCCTACAACAGAGTGGGCCATCCTACTCCACGTTCCCCGTCGGGCTACCACATTTATACTATCAACGAGATGGTCGAGGTCATGGGCAAGCGAAAAAAGATGCCCACGACTTTGGGTATCAATGTTGCAACGGGAACTATCTTCATCTCGCGAGAAGACGATGGTGCCGTGCAGGAATGGACGGCGGACAAGCTGACCCACTACTCTATTGAGGGCAAGCACGTCTTCGTTGATCTTATTCGCCCCAGCAAGAGTATTGATTTCCATGCGGGAGCGAAAGATACAGCTCGTGAGATTGTTTCCGCCCTTGGAGAGATCTCGGGTGCATACCGCGCCGAAGGACTCCGGGAGGTCATTGCCGCCGGCACCAGCGGAGGTCAGAAGAAGGGCCAGATCTTGTATGACTTTATGGCGCAGGGCGATGATGAGGTGACGGTGGCAGTGGGCGACGATGTCATTGTTCTCGATGACAGCAAGTCGGAAGAGTGGTGGATGGTACGCCGTCTCAAGAACGGCAAGGAGGGTGTGGTTCCGAGCAGTTACATCGAGATTACAGGTACCGTCACCGCCCCGCCGCCTGGGGGTGCGGAGCCAGGCTTGTCGACAGTGGAGAAGAATCGCATGGAGGAAGCACGTCTCACGAAGGAGGCGTCCCGGAAGTCGAAAACCGACTCGATGGTGGATCCGCGAAGTCCAGAGGTATGTTTCGTGCACGTCATGACACCATTTTAGAGAACGACAAGATGCTAATAATGCTCTAGCGCCAGAAACGTGACAGCAAATCGAGCCACAAGTCGAGTAAGTTCTGGCTGGTCTGTACCAATGTGTCGAAGATTGACTAAGTTTCATAGAACCCGATCCTACGAAGGTTAGACAATGGACCGACCGCACGAAGACTTTCACCGTTGAGGCCCAGTTCATCGGATTGATGGACGGTAAAATTCACTTGCACAAGCAGAATGGAATCAAAATCGCCGTGCCCATCATGAAGATGTCGGTGGAAGACCTGGAATACGTCGAAAAGCTGACTGGAGCCTCTCTGGACGAAGACAAGCCATTGTCTGACATAAAGCGCCGTTCTCAACGCATCGAGCCCGAAAAGCCTCGAAGCTCGTCTGATGGCAAGCAGAATGGTGCTTCTTTCCAGCAGTCCGACTACGACTGGTTCGACTTCTTCCTGAAAGCCGGTGTTGGCCCTCACCAATGTGAACGGTATTCACAGAACTTCATTAAAGACTCCATGGATGAGGGGATCCTTCCGGACATCACCCCCGAAGTCTTGCGCACCCTCGGATTGAAGGAGGGCGATATCCTGCGGGTAATGCGCTACTTGGATAACATGTTTGGCCGAACGGGTGCCAAGTCTAAACTGCGTAACGTCAGCTTTGGAGGCGAGGAAGTCATCGACGAGGAAGGGGCCGGTGGTCTGTTCTCTGGTCCTGGGGGGATGCTGCGCAATAACACTCGGAAGGGCAGACCTGCACCGAATGCGCCAGCAAGCGATGTAGTTGACCCCAAGGCCTTCGAGCAGAAGGATGCTTCGAAGCTTGCAGAGCGCAGTGACACTCCGCCTGCCTCTGCAACCGCGCCGGAACCACCAGTGCAAAAGGGCTTCGACGACGATGCCTGGGAAGTCAAGCAACCCAAACAGGCACCCACCACTGCTGCTCCCGCTGCGCCGGCGACTACGTCAAGCCCCCCTCCGGCCGCCTCTACACCAACTACGAGCCAACCTCCAGCCGCACAACCGCTCACCGGCGCAATGGCAGAGCTCTCCCTGCTCCAGGCTCCCCTTCAACCCACCCCCGCGCCCGCGCCTCAGTCGCCGCCTGCAGCGCCACCGGCTATTCAACCTCAACCCACCATCCAACCCCAGCATACGATTCAGCCACAGCCTACCATTCAACCTCAGCCCACTGCTGTGCCTATACCCCAACTACAGCCGCAGGCGACGGGTGCTTCACCTGGTTTCTTCGCACAGCTCGGACAGCCACAGGCCACTCAAGCCTTCAGTCCTCAGGTAACCGGATTCCAATCGGCGGCGAGACAGCGCCCGCAAGCGCCACAAACTCCACTGGGTGGCAATTCGTTGCTTCCTCCCCCGCCTCAACGACCTCTCTCAGCCCCTCAAAATTTCCCTCAGCAGCCCAGCTCCTTTGGACCCCCTGCACTGCAGCCTCAGCTGACTGGGATTCCTCAGTCGGGCCCGCAGATTGCCCCGCCGGGTCAAAGCTTGGCTGAACTGAATCAACAACGTTTCCAGCCATCCCTGCAGCAGCCTCAACCGACCGGATTCATGCCGCAAGCTCAATTCCAGAACGGGTTGATGCCGCAGCCAACCGGGTTCCAGCCGCAATCTCAATTTGGAATCCAGCAACAGCAGCAGCAGCAGACTGGCTATCCTGGCTTGGCACCGCAACCGACCGGGTTTGGAGGTTTCCAGCCACAGCCGCAGCAACCAATGCAGACAGGCATCAATTCGGTCCTGCCTCCGCCTTTGCAGCCTCAACCGACTGGCATGAACGGAGTCAGCAGTATGCCATACAGTGGACCAGCTCCGCCATTGCCACCTATCCCTCACCAGCCGACTGCTACCCCACTGCAGCCCCAGAAGACTGGCCCCGCTCCTCCCATCCGATTCGGTGTGAAGCATGACGCCCCCAAGAAGCTAGCCCCACAGCCGACAGGCCTCCGAGCCAACCTTGCGCAAGCTAGTAAGTTCAACCTTCAACACTGATCCCAACTTGCAGATCTCTGACTAGTACACCACTTCTTAGCACCTACCAATCCGTTCGGGTTCTGATCCGGATATGTATATACACTTTTCCTCTCGGCGGCATTCCTATACAACCACGCTGCTCTTTCTTGCTGGCGGGAATGGCATGCACACCGCGCATAGACGATGCCGCTTTTTATCTAATTCCCTCTTTTCTGCGACTCCTCGCGCTATCACGCGTATGGGACGTGGCTGGGTCCGTCAGATATATGCAATGAGTTCCGAAGCGATGTTTCGACTCTCGCCTCCCTCACGCCGCTTTCTTAGAATTCTAGTCTCGCACCTTGGTGCCAGACTCTATGTAATTTTGGACGCTCGATGCCAGTCACTTGTCTTTTGGAGGACACTTCTGTTTAATGTATGGACAGTAGTTGCCCGCTCAAGAGATGGGGGCTGATCGCTCGACCAACCAACCGCCTTTCTCTATATATGATTCTGATTTCCTATCCTCTTCTCTCACTTGTTTTCATGATCGTGCTATTTGGCCCTGTCTTATGGTCTGTGTCTCTGCTTGTCTGATTGGAGGTGTTGCGTTCCCTATCCGATTTTCCTTTACCTTTGACTTGATCTTATCTTCGCCAATGTGGTTTGCTGTCTTTCGCGAAAGTCTGATTCGTGGCTCCCTCCTATGGGCACCCTGCTCTGGTTTCCCCCTTGCCACGCTACCATCTCTGCCATTCATGTACGGTACATATAGTTGTGGTCAGACAGAATATGGAAGATTGTTCATCTACGAACGACTCAAGATGTTGATCTGTTGTAGGGTACGGTGGGCGGCATTCCTCCGTTCAGTCAGTGGCAATGCTGAACTCAACCTGGTCGATCTGCCGTCTTCCGTGCGGCTTCCGCAGATATAAATAATTATCTCTGGTTCTGGTCATCACTTGGCTTTCGTTCATAGAGACGTTCCAAAAGAAGCTTTCGATAAGGAATAGTATATACATCAGAGATACCTTGTCTCTGCTATTTGCATTGAGCCACGACCATTGGTTGGGAAGCCACGTGAGCCCATAAATAGAAGATATACTTCAAGTTTTGTAAAACTACATTCCATCCGAGAACGTGGCGCAACTTTGGGAGTCATGGTTCGATTTAAGACATATCAAAACAGAGCTTAATTCTGATAGTGCACCCGGAATATCGTTCCGTGGCAACTACAGCTGAGCGGCTTGACTTGCCCTAACAAACCCATTTAACTTTATACACCATCCGGTTTTCAAGAAGGCTGTTGATCAACAAACCGACTCTCATTCTCTGGATTTCCATTCTCGTCAAGTGTCATTGTCATTCATTTCTAGTGCTTTGCGACTGATTTTCACTCTATATCTGTTTGCTTCAGCGCAATCCAATCTAATCCATTCCGTTCCGAATCCCATCAATTTCATCTCGACAACAACAAGAGAACCCAAGCAACATGCGCCACACATACCCATACACCACCGCTGCCCTCGCCCTCGCGCTCGCCCCCCGCAACACCACCACGTACAGCCCCGACTCCTGGACCTTCGGCTCCGGCTTCTACATGGGCCCCCCGGCCCACGGCCAGATCATCAAAGCCACCTACTCGATCGCCGCGCCCGGAGTCCCCCAAGGGACGACGGTGACAGACCCCGGCGACGAAGTCTGGACCTCCATCTGGATCGGGGTGTCGGCCACGCAGGGCGACGCGAGCAACAGCCTCTACCAGCCGTTGTTCAATTGGTCGCCGGATCAGAAGTCCCAGTATGTTTTTTTCTTGGTCGTTGTGTATTATGTCCGGTGTTGCTGGGAATTCTGGCCCCTGTATCTACCGTGTCGTTAGGGCTGGGATCGTAAGTAAGGGGTGACGCTGATATGGAGGGTGGTTTGTCTGTGCTTTAGGGGCTGTTCGGCTGGTGCGGAAGAGTGGTGCGTGGCTGCGAGTCCGTATACGTCTGGTGCGTGCCTTTTTTGTATCGCGTGTCTGCGGCTACATACCTATCAAGACAGTGTACGCTGATTCCCCTGCGTCATGCTAGCCGGACAAGTTGCGCAGGCGTACGTGCCCGTGGCGAAGGATGCGCCGGTGGATTTCGAGAGTCAGTTGGTCCCTTTTCCCCTTTGCCCTCCCTTCAGACTCCTTGCGATTCCTTCCATCTATACGGTTGGGTTTTGTGTCAGCGCGAGAGAAAAAAAGACCCCACACCTCCTGCCCGACTTGAGTATCTAACTAACCAACCAACCTCCACAATCGGAGCTCGCCGAGCAACAACAGTCACCGTCCAAAACGGCCAAGTCCACCAATCCGTCCGAGTCGACGGCCACCGCGTCTCCCAGCAGACCGAACCCCTCTCCAACCCCCTGCTGTACCTCTACTCCGCCGACGAATGCTACACCGGCTCGGGCACGTGTGGCTCGTTGCCGAGTTACAGTGCGTTTCACACTTGCTCTTGTCTCTTTCCTATATCTTGTTCGTTTGGAGGGGGAGGGGGGGAACGCACACGTGAAGTTTTCTGCCCGGATAGCTGATCAAATCTGCACGATAGGCTGGAACAACATCACCATCGTCCTCAGCGAGGCCGATCCGCAGTTCGGGCAGACGTTGGCCCTGGTCGGCGCGACGAGCAGTCCGCGTGGATTCTCGACCGCTGATGGGGGCAGCACGTGGCATGCGGCGGCGGTGGTCATCCCCGTGGATGATTTTACACCCAAGCACTAGGGGTCCCTTTCTCGGGTTGTGCTGTGCGGCAAAGGAAGGGCGGGGTGATCGTGAGTCGGGATGTGTCTTGGGTTGGTGGGAGATGATAGAGGGAGTTGTATGGTGGTGAATGCGGGGAGAGTTGGGGTTCGATTGTATGTAGCCAGACATCACGGCTCCAAGTTCGTTGAATCGCATCCATTTCCGAGCCTGATGCTGATTTGAATATCACATGAGCTTCCAAACAGGACAGGACGGGCCACTATGTCAATGCATGGATTCGCTATCTGCGTGAAGGTAGGTATGTACAGACAGAAAGATAAATAGGATATACATGGAATCAATGCCAAGGCTAATCGTCTGAACGCCAGGTTCGAGATCCAAAAAAACGCCAGATGATGGCAGTCGGGCGTGCTATGTTCATGAAGATGTCGTAAATAACCTGTCTCAATAGGCAGGTAGGAAGAGCGCTGGCGAATTTGTACACTCCATCCCACACCAAAAAATTGTACACCGAAACAGCTAGGATTCCCCAACCTAAGCGTCTTCCCAGAGACCAAACACGGGAAGATCCTCCGCCATATACAAAAGGCCATTGTCCGGCAAGATCACATCAGACAGCGGTGTATGGCCACCCGGGACCTCAGAAGGTAAAACACCGGACGGGATGGTCCCGCCGGGGGAACAACCGATGGGAATTCCCGTCGTGGTGAGCGTAGAGACGGCCGTATCATAGGGAAGAGGAGGCGCGCCCTGGGTGCCATACAAGGTCTCCCAAATGTCGTTATCCACCTGGCCTGGAGCCGCGGTGGTGGCAGTAGTTATGTTGGAGGAATGAGGTAGTGTTGGTCCCCCGCCCATTTTCTCAGGAGAGAGCGGTGACAAGACGGCCGCTTGATCGCCGCGTCGGCTTGATGGAGTATTGGCATCTGCTGCGGCCCGGGGCTCATCCGAAGTGCCGACTTGGCCGAAAAGCTGGTCCACTTGACGACTACGGCGTTCCATCCATTGACGATTTCGTCGACGCACATACTCGGCCACCGCAGCACGGAGATATTTGATGATCTGGTAGAAGCGACATGCATGAGGATCATGCGGCACGAACAAGCCAAGAAACCGTTCGGCCTTCTCCATCCCCTCCTCCAGCGGGAGGAGGTTGTCGTAGTCTGCAAAGAATGCTGCGCCTAGCACCACAGCTGAGTTGAAGACGGAATTAATCAGGAAAGGCAACCTGCGAGGGAGATTGCTGTATCGAGCAAGGCCATCCACAATGTTGAGACCTCGTAAGGCTGAGTAGACGCATGCATCGGCGAAGAGCGCGATTCGGGAATTGGTGGTCCTGGTGTCGCCGGAGCTTGTGGAGTCGGATTTACTTCGCACATATTGCGAGACCCGAAAAACAAGAAACGGACGAGTTAGAAGAATGATCGACCAGTAATACGACCCGAATACATGCGCCGCAGCCAAGGTGTCTTCTAGATTTTTTGACTCCAGTCGTTCTGTCTGCACCTGCAGAAACATAGGCAGGTTACGGACCCAGGTTCGATGTTGGTTCGAGATAGCATCAGCCACGGTGATCGATATTACCTGCCGCATATAGACTTCGGTCAAAATCCGTTCGAAGATGCGGCACAAAGAAACGACGGTCATAGATAACTGTTCTTCGGGTTCGAGACGCTGTTGATCCGCCGGAAGACCGTCTTCGCGAAGGTCATAATCGAAGTCTAAGGTAGCCGGCGGCCGTCCTAAAGAGGCACTGAGGTAGAGGTCCATCATGCGAAGACTCTTCCAGACGCGCTCGCGGGCCCGTCGCTCTCGAGTGCAGAACAGCGAATTTGCATCTTTCCTATGGATGCCGACCGCATACGCAGCCCGGAGCGCGAGACCAAGGTTCATGAAGGCGCCATTGCGCCGACACGCACCTAGCATGTACATAGATATCAAGACATAGGATTGAATCGTGTAGATACTAGGGGTTTCAGTGAATGCAGAGAACGCTAATTGACGTCCGCTGATGAAGTATTGTTCAGCCAGGTTCTGATTGGTGTCTGATACCTGTGCGCCAATCGCGAGCACGAGGTAGAAGATCGAGCTGACCGTGTCTTCGTCGCCAGTGGGGTTTCCCACCCAGTCGGCAAGACGCGGGTGAAATTCGTTGAGATCAAAAAGGTCTAGGAGTGGGCTGGTAGCAAGAACGTATTGACGCGCCAACCGTTGAGCCTCCTCGTTGCTGGGAGGCGCGATCAAAGGCCCCGTCTGTGTCGAAGCACTATTTTGGAAAGCCTCCAGCATTGAATGTCGCGAGTTGTCTTCCGTGAAATCACAGCGGCCGATCGACGAGGAGACGATGCGACGGACACTCTGTAAGAAGGATAAGCTTGCAGAATCACCAATGTACATGAATTTTCCCTGTCCGTCACGCAGAAGCCTAGCCACCTTTGGCACCGGAGCTGTACCATCTTTATCGTCTGTCGCCTGTTGTTCCAATGTTGCACTACGGTCTTCGAGCGAGTTCAGAAGTCGGTCCATGGCTGTCTGCCGCTGCGGGGTTGGGACGAGGTGTTCGCTGAGAAGCATGGTCTCTTTCGGGTTGTTGTTGTTGCTTGGCTTGAGCAAGCGGGCGGGCTTGTCGGAGAAATGACATTCGGCCTCTTTGCGACGTTGGACGCAGATTGTACATGGCTGCTCTCCGTTGCATTTCTGCTTCCGTCGCTTGCAACTATCGCAAGCTCTCCTGCACCGGAGTCGAGCACCGGGAGCCGTGCTTGCCCGCGGCATAATGAAGCATGTACTCTGAGAAGCTTGATTCGAGCAGTCGAATGCGCGGGATGGCGCTAGAGAAAGGATGCAAGGCAGGCAGGCAGGCGGGAAAAAAGTGAGGATCCCTTTAGGCTCTGAGCGTAAGCAGCAGGCTAGCTAATTAGATCGGCTAGTGATGGGCTTGAGCTGGAAACCCAAACTAAACTAGTCAACAGTGGCGTGGAACATCTCCTGTTCGCTAGCTCGGGCAATCTGCAGTGGACGGAGAGTCCTGTACCAGTGAGACGCGTGAAAGCTTGCTGGGAAGCGAGATCGACACCACAGGCAGCATTGCCTTTTTTTTCCCCCGAATTGCGGTGGAAAGTTGGGGTTCGGCGGAGGAGCCTTGAATCAGACGGAGAGAAGAGGGGGAAATGGATCCTGGATCATGGATAACTAATGGATCTTTCCGTGCATGACTCAGCTGCACGATGCGAACTTGGCTACATCGGGTAATGACGTGCGCTCCCCCGATCAACTTCTCCTTTACCTCCGAGCTCAAAGCTACGCGTGTTGATGGGATATTCTTTTTCTGGAAGATTCCCACTATTGGAGCTATCCTGGATTCATGATTCGTGACTGGCCTACCATTTCGGACACGCGATAGATGGCGTACAATCTGCAGAAGGACAATTATCACCAGATGCACGTAGAGTTCAAATATGACCACTACATACCGCGACCCGCCGTGCCATTAACATCACATTACACCCATTATTCAGGTCGGAAAGAGACAATCTTTCCCCAGGTGTCGGCCGTGCCCCAAATCCCATGGCGCAAGCACGACAACTGCACAATCTGACTGTGGTCGACAAACAAGTTGACATCAATGCCAAATTCTCGGATGTACCAGTTGAAGACCTTCGGGTCTGCTGCCTCGAACATGACGCCTTCCGAAGGAAGCTCTTTCATGATCTTCGATACCACATCGGTCCGCCACGACTCCACATTCTCCGTGATGCCCTCCGACTCAATCATCAAGCGCTCGACGCCTGCGTCGAGGAATTTACGGCCCAAGTTCACCAGCTTCGACGGATCAGACGTGCCCATGGCTTCCAACCCTGCCGCGGGGGTGTCGCCCCCAGCACCGAACTGAATCCCTAACTCGGGCTTCGCTTTCAACTTGTAGGAGTGGACCTTATCAACAAGGCGGAGCCAGTCGTCTTCTGGGATAGATAAAAAGCCCGATGAGAGCTCGATGACATCGAACCTAAAGTAGAGATAATGGATTAGACGTGTCGAAGAGTTGAGGTAGCTGGGCTTGTTGAGGTGGGTGTATACGCACCCAAGGTCCTTGCACTTGCGAAGGTACTTATCAAACACGGCGCTTGCATCGGGATGCGTGAGTAGGTGCTCAGCCCAACCGCCCTAATCATTGTTTAGCTAGCACTCAGTAAGACAACAATATCATCTTTTTTGGCTTACTGTGGAGACATAGACTCCGTGATCGTGAGCGAGATCGATCAACTCCCTCAATGGTTTCTCTGGGAAGAGAGAGAACGACCCTATTTGACTAGCTTAGCCTCTATCGTCTGAGCAAGGCAAGTAGCTGGAGGTGATTACCTCCTGCAAACTTCAAGCCGTCCACATGGGTTCCCATGCTTTGGTGGTAGTTGTCAGCAGCGAAATCTCTCCAATGTCTACACAGTCGAGCGGCTCACGTCTCCAGCACATCTGCTAGGTATCGTTTTCCCATGACCTGTACTTCTAATCAGCTCCTTATGGGTCCTTAGAAGCACATGGCACCCCAAATATGTTAAGGACTACGGCTTGGTAGTCGGCATACAGTATAGTATGGGCCTCTGATCTCGGTGACGCCCTTGGTCCTCGGTTTGGGTGGTCTGGGGTTTGACCGTGCAAACCCAAATCCATTTTTCTTATCCTGGAGCAGTGTGATCTCTTTCTTTGTGGTGGAAGAAGAATATCTTGTGGGCAATACCGACACCGAGGCCGAGGCACTAGGGAGCTGCCGCATCGCAAAATTGATATTACTTCGCAAAGGGAAGGCAGGAGCGACGCGAGGGAGCGATGTAAACATTATGATGGTGAGTATCGAATATACAGAAAGGCTAAAGCTCTGTATTGTGAAGCAATAGCAGTAGGGAAGTGAAGTGCTCAACAATCAATTGCGTTGTGGTCAATACTGTACGGGATACTGGTTGCAGCTCAACTTAGCGGACCGAGGTTGAAGATTGACGTAAACAATATCTCATCCTCCTCCTTGGTGAGAGACATGAGGTGATTGGCTCGAGGGCATGTCAATTGTCCGGGTTTTCTCTACCCAGTGAACACTGATCCAGGAGTTCTGGAATCCTTTGGGTTAGGAGACCGCAAACCCTCGGACAAGGAGCACAGTGTAACGAGAGTGGGGGAGTGTCTTAACAATAACAGCTAACGATAGCATGACGTCATTAGTAGGGGACAATCTCCCAACCAGTTCCTGGCTCTGAAGGAAAGATGCTCCTTTTAATAATGTAACAGATGATAAGTAACGAATTTCATGAAGTTACCCCAATTATTCAAGTACTTCTCACGAAAACCAAGCTTGGTTCTCCTGCTGAAATGCTGTACTTGGCAGGCACCCTGGATCATAAGGGCGGGTCAATCCCTCAGTCTGGGAGTCTCCATTAGTCAGTAAGGCCGAACGAAGGGTCTTCGACGGATTCGGATCTGGGCCGCGGCACTGAGCCTTGGTGGTGAGCCCGGTTTTGACAATAAAACCAGTTGGAATCATGGATCCATGATCAATCAAGAATAGTTCGACCCTCGGATGGATTTGTGATTCACTCTCAGGATGGAACCACTTAGGGAAAACCGCTGACTGAGCTTCACTTGCACGGAGCTCGGCGTCAGCGGAAACTGGGAGCGGACGAGCTGAGTTCCGATGCCGACACTTGACATTATTAATGCACACAAGGCCTTATCCTCCATCAGATCACATTGGCAGGACCTTGGGGATTCGCCAATTCGGAGGTAATGGCGGCTTGCCAAGCTTGGGCGGGCGCTCGAAAGCGGACCAAGTGGCTCCAGCCGTGGCCGATGCGAAAAATCATCTGCTGCGTACGCATCTCGGTAAAGATGCAGACGCTAATAAGCACGGGTGTTTTTTCCTCGTACGTAAAGTACCTGGCCCGATGTGTAACAGCAATAACTGGAACGCTTCAGGCGAGTACAGTAGTAATTGAGTCGATAGCGATAGCAAGGCACTGTTCGGATTGAGTGGCTTGAAAAACTGCCGACTCCGTCGTTCAGCAGATTTAATGTACTGAGCGAAGTTGACTTGGGTGAGCATGAGTATTTGTAGTAGTACTTGCTGTACTGTACCAGTGAGTACTGTTGGGCAAGACAAGGCTGGACAAGGCTGAACAATCCGGGGAGGTGATGTTCACTGATCGACGCATAGGCCTCTCTCTCTCTCTGCTACTGGGTCGAGTTTCGTACACGCCTACAACCTCACATATGCACTTACAGTACTACTATACTAGGTACAATTATACGAGATACATATATGTACGGGCATGCAATGCTATGATGGGGATTGAGGAGGATCACAAATCAACAATTAGCCCTGTGAGTAATCAGAATTGGAGGGAATCCCTCCACCATGTGACGTCTTACCTGGTTTGGGGGGAAAAAGCTGCTTGCTGCAAGATCCCGCTCCACCGACCATTGGTTGCTTCCCTCGTTTTCCTCGGATAGGCAGTGGGGCGACCAGCTTAGATAAGTACATCCTGTATAATTACTAGTCAATACCGAGCACCCACTAGTACTTGGGTATCCTACAGGGAGGTATGTGCTTAGGGTTGACCATCCATTCACAACATACCTTACTCAGATGGAGGTTCTTTCACCGCCGAATTACTCGGTGACTACTCGAGGTGTGTTGGCCATCATCATGGATGGATCATAGCTACAGTCACTTCCCCATTTCAATCGTGGTTATACTCCGGGTAGTTCGACAAAGCAAGCTCGAGAGTCATGAGCCCGGACAATAGGAGATATGACTTGTACTTTTCATTATTGCCCATGCTCTTCACTCAACCCAGAACGAGCCAGTCATATACAAGTACTACCTTGCCAAGGTAGACTAGGGTCTGGAAACCCGATGTCTCAAAAGAAAAGAAAAATAACACCCGGCATCCGGTAGCTCCGATAACTCCTAACCGCTAATCTATAGCGGTCGCCTGCTTTCCTTGGTTGCCCTTCCCTGGCTCCAGCATGTGTTAATTGTCACGACATATCGGTCAGGCCTCCCTCTTTCTGCTTGGGTGAGCAGTTCTTGTTATTGAGCTTCTTTCACCTCGCATGGTTCCTCCTCCTCCTTCTCCTCCCCCCCACCCCCCACTTGGAACTTGACTGGGTCCAAGTACATACCGTACTATCTCGCCAAGTTCAAAGCTCTTTCTTACCTTTTGACTTTCTTATACTTAAAATACTAAGATACTTAAAGCATGGACTTGCCCTGAACCAAGAGAAGTGCCCAGACTACGTAAGTGGAAGTTAGGTACCTACAACCTACATGAATACCCCTCCCGTACATACTGTACATACCTACATAATCAGCGACTCAACCAGCAGGTAGCGTGACATCTTTCCCAGTTTCCTTTTCCCATCCTTCTCATCTTACATCTTATCTCGCTTCAAATCACATCCCTTCTTCTCTCACCTTTCCTCCCGAATCCCTCGATACCTATACCTATAATACCAGCACCCTCTCGCGCATCTTAACTTCGCTTCTTTTCACTCGCTTATTCTATCACAGCCGCTCATCACCTCGAACCACGACATTCCCTCCATCCGCCTCGCCTAGAAATTAGTCTTATTCCTCTCACTAGGTCCTGGATCATTCTTCCGCCACTAGCCTGACCAGCGCAATCCTTTTCCGCCTCCATTCATCATGGGCGCAGGGGCTATTCTAGAACCTCTGACTGTCATCGTCCTCCTCTTCGGAGGCACTTGGATCAACCGAAGTACAGGGTCATTTCCTCCCCGGAGACCTCGTCGCACTTCCAATGTCGTGTCGCGTGATTCTTCTCCTAGCGCAATTGAGTCCGGCGTGTCGACCCCAACTGTCAAGGATACTCTACTGAACCGCCGTTCTTCATCTTCTTCGTCGCTCCCGCAGATCAGCCAGACCGGTTGGCGCAAGAGACAAATCGGGTTTTTCAACTCGACCTTCGAAGTGACGTCTCCAGACACCACTGTTTTTCATGATCGGTTACTCAGTCGCTTGCTCCGCAAGTTTCCCTTTCTTGTCGAGTGCTGGTACTGGGCGCTTGTGTACTGGGTATGTTTGAACCTGGATACCTGCTGGGGACTCAGACCGGAAGACTAATCTACTGGGTACAGACATATCAGTTGGGTCGGGCTTTCACTGCTGTCACTCTTAAAGATGATACGGTCGATGTGGCGCGCAAACATGCACTACAATTGATACAAATCGAGGAGTCACTGGGTTTGTTTTGGGAGGTTTCGATCCAAAAATACTTTCTCCACCATCCCACTCTTATGACCTGGACCAACTGGATCTATTCGTTCATTCACATTCCCGGAACAATCGCCTTTCTCGTCTGGCTTTACTATTTCACCATCACAAGGAACCGATTCGATGAGTCGCAACCAGGAAAACCGCGCGGGCTTGTGAGCGGCTCACCCGCGGGGTCTCATCTATATCAGGCCCGGCGTCGAACTCTTGCCGTGTGCAATCTGCTTGCCTTTGTGGTTTTCACACTGTGGCCCTGTATGCCGCCTCGTCTGCTCAGCGACAAGGACGCGAAGGGGCCAGACGCAGCCTTGGGCCGTAGTTACGGGTTTGTTGATACTGTACACGGAGTCAACGGGGCGGGCAGCGTCTGGACCGAGAATCGCTTCTGCAATCAGTATGGTAAGTCTTGTGGCCTTGATGGGTCTTGAAGACCAGCTATGTATCCTGGGCGAGTTTTGAACGATGTCACTGACTGTATTCTAGCCGCCATGCCGTCGTTGCACTTTGGCTACTCCCTTATGATTGGTCTCACCATCATGACCATCCCGCTGCCGCCACATCAGCGTCGCCGCACCCGCGTGGCCATTGGTCCTTTGAAGCTGCAACTTCCTTCGTGGCGTCGGCTGGGCTGTCTCGCTCTGGGGTTCGCCTATCCTTTTGTGATCTTGGCCGCTATCGTCGCCACCGCGAACCACTTTATCTTGGACGCGATTGCCGGTGCAACGGTATGTGCTCTCGGATGGAGATTCAACGGAATCCTGTTGAATCTGCTACCCCTGGAAGATTACTTTCTGTGGGCGGTTCGTATTCACAAGCCGGCTTCGAACACCACGGACGGACTCGAAGACGCAGTCGGCTGGGTCGACGATGGCATTTCCGAACACACCTCTCTCCCTTAATGCAGCGACAGTCAGGGGTGATCCCTTCCTGCCTCCTTTGCCTGTCCTAGAGCTTGATGATACCCTTGCATATGCAACATTAATGTCTATGAACCCCACTCCGAACCATGACCTCGATGACTCCCTGCTAATATGCTTCCTCAATTTATTCTTTGGCCGTATCATTACGTCCATCAATGTCACTGCGACTGACGCAGTCCTTACAGTGTATATACAAGCTTCCTTAAAAATAATGCGAGTATGAATACCTGATTTTTTTTTTTTCTTTCTTTCTGTTTCACTCGTATTTGTACGAGCTTAGACCTTAAATGGGCATGATTGGCAGTAGACAAGTGGTTACGCGCATATAAGTCGAATGAAATCTCGAAGAACTGAAAGTTGATCATATCTCCAGCGCCGATAACGTGTGCTATGGGTGAAGGAGTGGTGGGGTTGATACCACAGTATCTCTCCGGCTCATCTGGAGAAGTATATAAGGATAGGCGGGACAGGATTATGAAGACGGGTCGCTTCGTGTCTGCAAGTGAGGTTTTGAACTTCAACTCAGTGAAGGCTTCCAAATCTCTTGTGCAGTGGTGAATTGGTGAACTGGTATGATACTCAGGAGGGAGGAGGGAAAGTTAATGAATAGTGCGTGTGTAGTTTGTATGGCCT